AGGTCACTCAGTGCTTAGTCTCGGCTCAGCATGGGTGTGAAGAGACACTGTATGAAAATTGTTAGAATATCTTTTGAAAAATCCCCTCCCACCCCCACGCAGAGAACGATGGACCAGTCTGAAACTTTGAAGGTCATGTATCAGTAGTAGGATATTACAGGGTCACAGGGTAGAGTTATTGGCCCACCATAGATGTGAGGAGATACTACCTTCCTGGAGGTGCTAGCTTCCTTCCCTGTGGGCGCCAGACGGGAACCTTGCCAAATATATGTCAAGGTCCCACTGGCTAGAACAGATGGGTTATTCATGGTCAGCTTCAAGTAGATACTTAGTATTGGATGGGAAAGTTAACATGCCGAAGCAATCTCAGTGTGCCAATGCGGCACACAAAGTCTTACAAGTTACAGATTCTGACATCATTTCATTGAAAGGAGTCCAGCAATTTGGACTGTTCCATGCTTCAAATAGGGGAGCCGACAAAATCTTTAACTTAGTTGCTGCAATTATTATTGTTATGAAACAACAATACACATCATAGAAATATATAAAATTAGGAAGCAATACTCTATGAAAACGAAAGGTCAGAAAGGTTAAAAGGGATTTTCAAATGGTAAAAGGTATGAATGTCGATATACCCCCAAGAAGAAAAGTGGTTCAGTCCTTGGGAGTGGTTTCAGACAAGTCTGGCTGTTCATGATATCATTTTCCCCAGATTCACGGGGATAATAAACGTAATAAAGTTTAAGTATTAAAGACAGGTCTTGCTTTCTTTTGGCATCTTTTTGGAGCCATTTAGATTTCTAATATCTCCAATAAAAAGACTCAAAGAGGAAAGAAGATGAAGTTTAATATACATGAAAGCAATTTCTGCTGTCACTTACGACCGTTATAAATGAAGGATACTCGCCTCCAAGAAAAGAAAACGGAGATAGACACAACAAAAAGGAGCTGGAATGATGTTTAATTTGAACAAATATGTGCAATTTCGTGGCCACTGGCTTGCAGGCTTCTGTGTCTCATGTGGGCCTGCTGTCTAGCGGAAGAGGGCGGGCGGTTTGGGCGGGAAGACTCCGCAGGGGGCGGGGGGAAATCCACACGGTGGTCGTCTGACTCTGACCATGCGCTGACAGAAAAGAGGGGCAAGGAACGAGTTTTCTCTCACATTCCTCACATTCTTTTGTCTTTTCCTGGAATCTTTGTGTCTGTAAGGCATTTCTGTATAACGTTGCATCAAGAGGTTGTACCGAAGGGGTTTGACAGAATTTCTCCTCGCCGAGTTGACAAACTTCCAAACCGCCGGAATGTCGGGGTCGCGACTCGTGTTGTAGTCTCCTAGGGAATACCATATTTTACAACATCCTCTGGTATTCCTGGGAACATGAATTCCTGGAGAAATAAGGTCACAAGGCTCGAGACGGATAAACTACAAAAACACACGTACTCCTAGGAATATACACTCATGATAAACTCACAATGAAGAAAGGAATGTTTACCACGACTTTATTGCAGGGAACGTAGCAATTTTGTCATTTAGTAGATTTACTGGCCTTTTTGTGATAAGATTTAGTTCTTTCTTTCTTCTCCTCCGCGCCACTGTTTTTTTCGTCGTCACTTCCCCCGTTGGACATAGGGAGCAATTTTCTGCCACTCGCTCAAATGTCGCCCAGAAATTCTTTTTCTTGACCTTAAAAATTTTGATCCTCCCTTTGGGTCGAGCCTTCATTGAGGCAGAGGAACCTTCCAAACACCGAAACCAATTGGTTTTCAGGAATCACAGAAAATATCAAGAACACTTCATAAACGATATCTTTATCATTATGCGAAGAGAGTAAAGTTATCTGTCTTGTAGCATTTCCTGTGCGTTTTAACTAACTTTCGCTACTCGCAAAGTGTTATAAGTTAGCTATCCATGCTTTGGGTTGCAAAAAATGACGGCTTCGTAGGTTCAAGAACTTGGAAGAAAGAAGAAGACGTGAAGATTTGTGTGCGAGCCCCACTATTGGTTTGACCTCAAAGAAAAGTGTCCGCCTTGGCGGCGCTATCGCGTTGACGTCCCGAGATGTTCTAAGACAACCGCCCTTCTTATTCAAAGTCACCAGGGGTTGTCTAAGACATAGCAACGCCCACTGAGATGTGTATTGTGAATCTCAGGACTTGCCAGACGTCTGAAATAGTGGACACGTCGCCTCCGCTTTTGCATTACAGGATCCAATAGGCGCGAAATGTAGAGACGATGTTACGCCTAAAGACGAAGTGAAAATTTTGGTCAGTCGGTCGGTCAGTTGAAAAAAAGGAAAGATTACTCATAACGCTCTATCAACTGGAACCTATTTTATTAAAAAAGAAAAGAATGAGTATAGAACTCCAAAAAGAGCATGACGAAAAGACAATGATAATCTCACAATGTGTACTTTAAAAGGCATGTAAGTGATTGGCCGTATAGATTCTGGAAAAAAAGTCGGAGAATCGAAATGCAATAATACTTGCACGCCTTTTCTAATATCTTTGATCTCGGAACAAAATCCAAGGAGGTTATAGTGACTTAGATATCCTTGGAAAAACACAACAGTAGTCGACGGAAAATCACGTGCACAATCAAATTGTTCTTTGTCGTTACAAAATAAAACTTTTAAAAAGCTGTCTTGAGAAATAAAATCTTCGGCTTTCGCCGATATTCAGTAGTACTCATTCATTTGGGACAAGAAAAGCTCCGTTAAAAATCAAAGCTTTAATATTCATATTTTTCTAAGCCCAGGGGATCTAAAAACAGTTTCTGGCATCATGTCATTCTCACCTCTGATTTCACGCGCATTGAATGAGTAAACAAAACAAAACAACAGAAAGATGTCGTCTGTCCTCACTTCTGTGTGATTGGCCAACATCCTCCCCCTCCCTCTGCAATGTATTGACCATTGCCGGTACAGGGGTGGGCCGTGTTGACAATCATCAAATTAACCACGTGACAGCCCAAACAAACGGAGCCACCAGCATTTCCGGACAATTCAACGCGAGCCATTTTACAACATTCCTCCGCATCTAAAAAGTTATAACTTCATCCCGTAGTTTTCCACAGAGTTGGCCTCGCGGTAGTGTGTAACATACGGGTAGGGCTGTGGTAAGAGATCCGAGGTTCTTATACTAGGGCCTCGTCTCTTGTTACGTCGCTCCACTTAGCGGCGGCCCTTTTGAAATCGGATCGCCACGGCTAATTACCACAATTAGGGTAGCCGGCCGATTGTATGGGACATGACTGGCCAGGTATGCCTGGCATGTTCTGCCCCGCCCACTTAGGGGGAAACCCTTGTGCTGCCCGGCAATGGGGGAGGGTCCATCCCGGAGTTTTAGCGCCAACGGGGGTGGTGAAACCCCGAAATTTCCACCAAACCAAGCTAAAATCCTCACTAGGGTAGGATCTAAGGCAAAGAGAGACCGCTATCCAAACTAAGGAGCGGTTGATTTGCCTTGTTTTGTTAACTTTTAACAAGAGGGACTCTCTTGTCTCTACCGCCACGAGTATTTCCCCAAGCCCTCTGCTGCGTCAATCATCATCACCCACGGTCTGCGGGGAAGATCACAGGGACACCGCCGGCCGCTGATTGGTCAGAACCTTAATAACATCCTATCTGCCAGCAAAAATAGAAAGTCTGCCCGGTAACACCACTGCCGTGGTGCTAGCAACAAGTGTATACCGTAGTTTAACCTTCTTTTGCACATTCCTGTGGTCGGAAGTACGAATAAAAAGACTTTTCAGCCTCTGTTTTCAATCTCGTTTGCTTAAATACCACAAAAATGTGTTTGTTGGACTTTTCAATGGGTGTGTTGTCACAAATCGTGTCAAACGGAAAATAATACTTGAAAAGTATTTTTGAAAGTCTACGGTAAATTTCTTCAGATTGATGCCTACCCAATCGATTTGTCACATCTCTTGGTTCTACGGGTGTAACATCCGACAGTCGCAAAAATAGTGATATATCGCCACATGACCTTGATCTACATTTGTAAGGTTATTTTGGGCCGGTAGTGACGATCAGATCAATCTGATCACATTTTTTTTACAACTGATAACCTTATCTTTCGCCGACGGTCGTTTCCCAAGTTCTCGGCTATTTTGTTCAACATTTTCTCGTGCAAGTTGTCATATCCTCACAGGTTTCGTTATACCATGACTGAAAAGGTCCGCTATTGTCACCAGAAACTTTTAATGGTCACCTTTATTTGAAAATGAATAAAACCAAACATTTTATTTGATAAATAACTACAAAATGGTAACAGTACTAAAACTTACGCGAAGTATTACTTGACTTCGATCAATATTATTTTTGTAACACATAAGCTCGCTGAATGTTACAGAGACAAAAGTAAACAAAAAAAGGCAACTTCATATTTGCTACGTGTTTGTAGTGTCTATGCACGCGCTGTGCGTTCCACGAAGAATCGCCCATAGCAACCCAGCACGTGAGAACGGTGGAAACGGCTCTCTATCGCACACGATCATCGCCGCCCGCTTGCACTGGGAATGAATAAGAGAAGGATCAATTTATGAATGGAAACTTTACTCCAGTGCTGTTGTCTCTGAGGGGGCATGACCGACCAATCCGGAGGGCGCAGTTCGGGGGACCCTGTGCCCAGGCCAACCCCGGGCGTCTGCGGACCGTCTGGCTCGCAAGGGGCGTCCCCGCGCGGGGCACCGGACGACACAACCCGCCGGTAGACCGTAGGGGTGTCCGGTGGGGTAGGGTCGTGCTATCTCACCTCCCCAACCCCTGTGTTTCTAAACCACACACAACCTTTGAATCCACACTAATGTTTGGTATGTGACGATCTGTGTTGAATGTTGTCGTCACGCACACACACACACCTTAATTTATGCAATTCCTTCACTATCCCACGTGGTACGTCGTGATAGACCCTTCGATTCTCCCAACCGGAGGGTCCCGTGAATTACAAATGAGCCTGAGAAAGGGGACCTGTCAATCATCCCCGGTGGGCGTGGTTACGTAGGAGAACCCTCTGTCGGGCCTCAGCGCGCGAGACTCCTCTGTTGGCCGGCTAGCAGCATTAGAGTGAACGACGCGGTGAAACCCGGTCCCCGTCATATAGCGCTGCCGGCCACACCATACGCTCTAAGACCCCACTGTAACACCTTCAAGATACTTTAGAACCTTCTCAAGTAGTCACCAGGCCTTATTTTGCTCTGATCCCAGGATTTGGCCCGCAAAATCGACTGGATCACGAAGACTCCCGCCTGAAGTTGTGTTCCCCTCCAACCGCCATGGACCTACTGTGTTGTGAAGGAGACTTGATCAGAAGGGGCTACCGGGACCCCGCCTTGCTTGGAGACAGCAGAGTCTTGAACAATCTCCTTATTACAGAAGACAAGTATCTTCCCTCCACTACCTACTTCAAGGCGGTACAAGACGAAGTCAAGCCGCACATGAGACAAATGGTCGCGACTTGGATGTACGAGGTAAGTTCGCAGTGCTACGACCATCTTGCCTCACATACCTGCGACTCCTTTACCTGATACTTCCCAAACCCCCTTCTTCTCCGCTTTACTACGAGCAGTTAGAGTGATTCTTAAGTTTCCTGAGGATTTCTACCCCAAGTGTATGTTGTTTTTGTCCGAGTATATTTGAGTTTTTGTCCAATTTTCTATTTTTAATTATTTTTTTCGTCTTTTATTATGAAACTGGCACCTATCCAACTGGCTGGGGCACTTGTCTAGCGAAATGGCGGGCCCCGAACCCCAAAGTTTCTCAAGTTCTTTTCACCCTCCAAACTTCGAGATATTTTGCCAAAACTTTGCATCAAGATAGCCAAGGGTATCTACTATCCATCCATCGTAAAAGTTTTTAAATATGTCGATGCTTGTATTTTTAAGAATATTTATAATTTTTGATATTACCTTAGCAACCCCGCAAACGCCCCCAAATATTTTGGAGGGAAACAATCTTGTAAGAATTCTACCCTTTCCCTTTGGAAATTGGTGTCGGACTTTGTTCCAAAATTTGACCAGGACTTCTAGCTACCGTTTGGCGTTTGAATTTTTAAAATCGGATGGTTTTTAGAATTTTGGCGAATTTTCGAAACTTTCGACATCGCCCGAAGCGGGGGAGGCCTTATGCATATTAATGACTAGCCATTGTGTGAATGTGTGCTTTTTTTTGTAGGGAATCAGTTTCAAACCGGCGCACTGGTGGAATTTCTCTTCCCATCATCGATTGTCTACAGAAATTGCAATTCTTTTTCCCTTTTCTTCACAGGTCTGCGAGGAACAGAGGTGCGAAGATGAAGTATTCCCCCTAGCAATGAACTATTTGGACAGATTTCTTTCCCAAGTTCGGATAAGGAAAAACCAGCTCCAACTCTTGGGTGCAGTTTGTATGTTCATCGCGTCCAAGTTGAAAGAAACCATTCCACTAACAGCGGAGAAGCTAGTCATCTATACAGACAACTCTATCATGTGTCAAGAACTCATGGTAAATATTGTTTGTTTTTTATTTGTATTTTTCTTCCGCTGTTTTTCCACGTACTGTGTGCTTTGTACGAGGCTAACACCATTACAGTAGGAAGGTCTAAACCTGTTTGAAAGAGGGAATTGTCGAAGTGTTCACAAAAATGTGAATCAAGTCGTGAATTGAGGATTATAACGTCGTGTTGTTGTGAGTGTGCGGGGGTGTTGGGTTGTCGAACGCCGTAAGGCGTTTCTCCCTTTCACCCTACCGCATTCCACCGGTGGACTTCCGATTCATAACTTCAGTCGTCACGGCAATTTTAACCCCGAATTCCAGTATTCCCACTGAGCTAGTGCCGGGCCACCCCTCTAGATACGACCCGTGTGCCTTTCTTCATTCTATCGGGCGATATTTTTTATGTGGGCAGTGCAGTTCGCTCTCTGGGGTGTTTGTTTCTTGAAATTTTCGGAAAGTAATAAATAGTCCGTAGTCTAGTTGCTGAAAAGTTTGAAACGCAAAGTACAAGTTGAATTACACCGTATGAAATTTAAATTTTCTTTGAAATAGCATAAATGGAAAGAGTAACAAGTTTGTGAGTGAAGAGAATTGGCAGAATTTCAGCCAGACGATGTCTGTGATGTAGCGATGTTTGTGAAAGAAAATGTTGCGAACTTTGTCAAGGATCGGATGTAGCAAGTATCCGACCTTGGGTTGAGGCGGAAACACAGGTTTTCCTGTTCTGTCACGCCCACAAAATAATCCCAACCAAAAACCTCCAAGCCATTTATTGATACGAAATATTTCGTAAATATGTACAATTTTTAAAGCATTTTGTAGATTTTTCGTATTTTTTTGTTGTCACGGGGGAAGCGCTGCAATACCGGTTGCCGTCAGAAACAGATAGGGGGCGCAGTTTAGCTGTTCTCTCACTGCACTTTGAAACAGAAAGACGTGCGAGAATTTCCGTCATTACTTCTAACTGAAACTGAAAGTACACCAATTCTTTCAAGCATCAAAAGTAATAAAGTGTTGATATTTTAATTGACATTTTTCAGTCAATGAATTTTGTGACATTTCATCAGAGTTTCTGTTATTCTATTTTTGGATGGAGACAGGAAGGAAAAAATTGTCTCCTACTTTTTTTTGCTTTTCCTCTTTCGATATCAGCTAACAGTTGAAAAGTTCACAAGATAAAATCTCTTGTTTGTGACAATCTGTTTTTCATCTCTAAAATTATACTTTTTGTAAGGAAAACAACTACAGTTAGGAATTCAGAGAAGTATTTTCTCACCTTTTCGTGAAACGGAAAAGTTATTATTGTAGGATGTTTGATTCCCCATTACTTGTGTACAAATATTACAAGGTTTTGTTAGCTAATATTTGGATAGGAAGTGTAGCTAGGAGGGGACCACCCTCGAAACAAACATGCCAAACAAACGGCTTTGTTTTGTTTGGTTCGTGTCAGCGGGAAATCCACGAATAAGAGCAACATTTCCTGACTCAGAGTGGGACAGGTTTCACATCCTTTCACGAAGTCGTGGCATGGAATTTACACGTCCATGAAACGTTGTAAACCATTTCCTCCTCAGAGCATGGTTTTTCCTGTTCTCCACATTTTTTCCACACATTCCACGCTACAAATTTGACCACACAGCTTGTTTAACTAGCTGGTAACTCATTAACTAGCTGTTTAACTTATCAACTTTTCCGTTGTGTTTTGCAGGACTGGGAACTCTTGGTGCTGATGAGACTGAAATGGGACTTGTCGGCAATAACCCCTTGTGACTTTCTAGAACACATCCTTAGTAGATTGCCCATTGAGAGGGAAAGAAGCGATATGATCGCAAAGCACGCACAGACGTTCATCGCGTTATGTTGTACAGGTGAGCAAAATTTCGCGTATTTTATTCTCATAAACGATAAAGGCAATGGCCGGATTTGACGGTGAAAACTTTTCGGTGGACCCTTCCTTGGGTTATTTTCCCATTGACACAATTCTCAGGAATTGAAATCCTGCCCACTGTGAACATTAACTTCAGTTGTGGTAGGTCGTTGTTGACTACTTCGGTAGCCTCTGATTGTGTGTTATGTACCATTGCACCCTGTAAAAGGCATCTGTGCTGCACAGGATTTAGTACTATTTACAAGTGACAGAAATTGGACAAATGAGGGGGGTGTGCTTTTCGTAAAGCCACAAGTTTACCTTGTAAATTGGAGTAGCACTTTTTCGTGAGGAAAAAAATCTGTTTCTTTCTCTGGAATGAGGTTAATTATAGTATTGCAATTTCTGAGTAGCAGCATTCTGTGCAGTTAAATGTGTTTTGCTGAAGGCAGTTTAACTTAATGTGTTAAATGTGTGTCAGAACCAAAACGTTTTCGCAACAGTAGGCATTAGGGCCTCAGAGTAGTCATACCTCCAAAATTGGGCCTGAAAGCTCAGTTAATGCCTACCATTCACCTGAGTTGAACAATCAAAAGGTGACGATTTTAGCGTCAGAAGGTTTTTGTCCCATTCCGACACAAAAGCCGACGTGTAACTTGAAACAGATCTTTCTCCAACGGCTGATTCTTTTGTTCACTCCCTCTGCAAAGAGCCGGGTTATCACACCACTTTAAATGAAGGAAATTCTTCCGTACAACGGCAAAGACTAATGTAGAGTTGATGACATGCGGTGGTTTTGTTTCCTGACCTTTGTCTAACCCAAAAAGAACAATGCCAGACCCCCTTTTTCCCTGCAGTCAGGACGGGGGAACACGTCTGTGACTAGAATAACAGGAGGCAACTTCCCCACGTCATTCCGTCTTACAGAAAAAGGGTCCTTCCCGGGAAAAGAAAATAAATGTTCACCTCTGCATCATTAAAAATAACATCCCCTCCTCTTATCGGCCACAAAGAACCTTACTTGACCCCGAAATGTGGTCCACGTGATCCGTTCTTACGCCATTGTGCGTTCCCCGTCTTTGACAAGCACACGCCTTCTTTCAGCCAGTGTTCTGGCTGCCATCCGCACTCCGCTGCACTTGTGTGAGGGCTTCCGTCCCCCGCTATAATTAGCTTCCCTGCCTTGTACCTCGCCTGAATGGACCCTGACTACTGCCAATCCATCAGACCACATTGTATGGCCACAGACTTTGCCTAGACCATTAGGTTTATCATTAACCATCCGTAAATTTAGACAAAAAGACAAGAATTTCCACTTACTGCTTTGTCATTATGCATTAAAGAGATGGTAATGAAAATTGAAGGGGGAGGAGGGTGTAGAAAAATTACTTATTATCCTTGAAAGTTTTAAAATGGGATGTCCCATAGTTTATCCTTACATCGTTTGCCTTGACCCGTTAGCGTAGTTAACGAGCATGGGTTAATTTGCCTGACCTTCGACCAGCGTTTTGTCCAACAAATATCTCCAATAGGCTGTAGTCATTACTGAACTCAGTTTAACTAGCTACCAAGAAATCACTTCTATAATTAGCGCAGAAGTCAAACTCTCACATTGTTTGTCTGTAGAAGTTGGTTTTGTTTCTATGACTACCAGGTGTTAATGATAAGCGAGGAAGCAAACTTGTTACAAAAGGAAGGAGAAGAAACATTAGATTGGTGTGTTGCCGCTGTTCTTAATAAGATTTTCCTGTTGCCAAAACAGAACCTTGAAGCAAATTTAGGACATGTCTGGATGGAGTCAGTTAGAAGGATTTGTCCCATTCCGATTCAAGGACCGCGTCTAAATCAGATTTAGCCAAAAGGTCAGGATGTTTCTGGTTTCCTTCCGGCAGAGTTGAACCTAAACTTGGACAGACACGTCGGGCAGTGGGCCCACTGGTCTGGGCTGCAGTGTGCCGGGAATATCAGGCAGGATGTGTTTCCGCAGCGGGCAGCCGTCCAAGTAGAGCAGTGCCGTGGGAAGCGGGCACTAAGTTGTCCTCCATTTGTCAGAGGTGGCAGCCACTATGTTCAGAATGTGGGGGAGCAAGCCGGTTGACACAACAGGTCTGTCAACTGGTCTGCGTTCCAGCGCTGGCCTTTATGGGAGACTAGTCTCCCCAGCAGGCTTTGTGGTGGGCCTTTTTTTAGTCATTTCATGTGTTTGTAGTTCAGTTTTCAGGCTGGACATAACTGTCAGAAAACTCATACAAGTCAAATACATGTACATCCAGAAATTGACCTGATAGACTAGCTTCCAAATCAGGCTTTGTGACTGCATGCTTAGATAAAAAATGTTAGCCACTAGGCCTGCTGTGTAGGCTAACGGTCCCTTCGGCACTGTAAATTTCTATCTCCACCCAGCCACCTAAACCCGCCTAGTCATGCTAAACAGCCTTCTGTAGGGGTACTGAGGAAAATTTTCCTTGGGGGCATGTTGGTTTTGGTGCCAAGAGTTGTTCTGTGTAGGCCGTTGGCAACAGTCTGGATTCCAGGCTAAGGGTTGGCCTATATGGGGACAGGGAAGGTGGCAGAAGGGCATGTTTGGGAATGTCTCCCCCTCCCACCTAGATGCCTTTCTGTGATCAGACAGGTGCCCTCTTGTCCCCCACCTAGGGACAGATCATTAACTACTGAGGGGATGAGTGTAGTCCTTCGGAAGGAAGTAAATGTGTGACAGGAAGCTCTCAGTCACAAGTCACTAACTACTGCCCATGAAAGCGAAAATAAAAGTATTAGTCAGGAACAAGGTGGAAGAAGTCATGTTCAGGTCTTGCAAAAGGAAATTGCTTACAGAAAAACTGAGAATGAGAATGACAACTTATTTTTGTATTGGTACAGTTCTTCATCAAATGATTTTCACTAGTTGGTTTGAAAAAGTTATATTTGCAATGAGAAAACTCAGGTTTAACGTGAAGTGTTTTTTGTTTGTTTGTGTTTCAGAGTTCAAGTTTGCAATTTACCCGCCGTCGATGATCGCAGCGGGAAGCGTGGGTGCTGCAGTCAACGGTCTGGTCGGACTCGGGGGGATTTGGGCGTCACCAAACGAACTGCTGGAACAGATGCAAAAAATCACCAACATAGACATGGTAAGAGCCTTCCCTTGTTGTTATTTACATCTATGTAATGTTCAGACCACTCCAAAAGTTGTCACACTTTCTGGAAGGGTGCAGTTGGCTGTGAGATGAGGAAAAAATGTGAGGTCACCCAAAAAATCACAAACAGAAACATGGCAAGAGTACTAAGACTCTGTCGTTGTTTCACATTTGAAGTTCAGGCCACTCCCAAACATGGTAAAAAATTTTTTGGAGGCTTGTGGTCTTCTGGTGTTGTTGAGTTGGCGGAACATGCCACGCATCAAAACACAGTCTCCTCCCAAATTTTCCGGAGGTTTGCGGTTGCCTGTGGCACTGGAGTAATGTGGGGGTCGGTTCAGTTCACCTTACAGGTGTCACACCCCTCCTAGATGACACAGACCTAAGAGCCTTGCATGTTCTATGTCACGACATAAGGACAGGGCAAGATGAGAAAAACAACCGTACAATAGAGCCCCACCTCTACGTTAAATATTTACTGTAGCCGTCCAACTTGTACGCTGCTGCAAGGGTTGAGTAGCGCTCTGTGGCGGTGTGTCAAGTAGCGACGAGAGAAAAGACTGGGAAAGCCTCGTGTTAAACAAATATCCTCTGTTAGTTTGTCCCGATTGTCTGACTAGAGAAGAAAATGTCAAAAACAATCTTGAAACTTGAAGGGTAGGGCAGGGTGTGTGGGTGTGGGTGTAAGCAAGCTGTGATTTTTACTCCGTGAAGGAGGTCAGGACCTCCGGACGGAGTGTTGTAATCGGCTGATTTTTCATGTTCGCAGTCAAAACACTGGGTTCTCTTCGTGTAATCGGCACGCAATTTGATACGCCGTCTGCGGGCATGCCCGTGTTGATGCACGAATGTGTATTTTTGCCGTTGCTGCTTTCGCGGTCAATGTAATATCGCAGACGCACCCCTACAATTACGAGGCGAATTGGAACGGTCCAGAAAAACGCGTTGTTTGGAATAGCGGGGGGGAGGTAAAAGTTCATGCAGATACGGGGTGGTTTTTATAAGTGGTTCCAGATGTTTTTGCCCATGGTTAAGAGATGCCAAGTTTTTTGGAAGATGTTCGCAGCCAAAACGCATTCTGCCGTACGTCGCATATCTGTGTAATTTCGCATGTGGTGTTGCATTATGTCCGGGATGATGCACGTCTTTTTATTTTTACCGTAGCTGTTTTGATATTGGAGTAAATGGTTATTTTCGAA